ATGATGCCAACCTCCAAGCTAGCCCTTGAGGGTTCCATGACCACTACAATGAGTGGCTAAATCCTTTTCTTGGAGCTAGAGATAGCCCCTAGGCTTGCTTCCTAAACCTAGCTTTTGTGTATTTTTTGGGATTTTAATTGTAATTGATGTTTTAACCATGAATAAATATAGATATTGTGATTTTTGCATGATTTGTATGGATTAATACTTTCAATTGATCATTTAATTCTATCAATATGTCTATGTATGCTAGAATGAATATTCATGTATTTTTCTCTAGATTTAATGAAATTGATGCATGTCTATGTGTGTTGATGTTGTTAATCTAGTGATTGTCAAGGCATGGTACTTAATTGATTACTCTTGTGGTTTATTTGATGGTTCATACTTATTTCTTGATGAATTGTGCCACATCCTTAGTTTAATTAGCTTAATTTTCATGTCACTAGCTTAGTTGTAGTATAATTGCTCTAATTTCTTAGATAGGTGAACAATCCATTTTTGTTATTTGATGTTCCATGCTTATGAGTGCAAGAAGTGCATTTCTCTAGATTATTGTGTGTGCACTAATTGTGGTTTAATTGAATGGTTATTTGTCTCATTTGATAGATTATGCTATTCACTATATTAACTAGACAATCTATACTTATTTGCCATCCATTATGCTTTGTTTTCAATTGGTGTCACACACACACATTTTACAACTTGAATTTCCCCATTAATTTACAATTGCTAGTGTTTAGTGAAGTGAAGCTTAGAGATGAACTTTAAGCCCCAACACCTTTCTCTCATATTACTTTCTCTAAATTCTAGATTGTCATTTAATTGCATTGTTTTACTTGAACCATTAGTTTAATTAATCAAATCAAACTTTCTTTGATCATTCGACTTACTAATCCAACATTGATTCTAAAGTACCATTCATTTCCATTGGGACGATCCCTACTTACTCTAGCTACATTAATAGTTAGTAGTGGTAGTGGCATTCTAAATTCAAACTTGGCCACATTTCATACCACATCACATTGTAATTTGGTGCACCCTACAACAACCTACCAGTCTCTCTTTGTCATTGACAGTTTACTCCGGTCTGTTCTTCATCGTCTTCACCGTGAGTTCTTCACCATCGACAAAACTTTATATTGCTAATAATGATGATGATGTTGATGATGATGATGGTGTGATGATGATGCGGCGATGGCTGAGGTGTGATGATGATGCGGCGGCGGTGGCAGTATATGTAGTGGGGTGATTAGTGGTGGTGATATATATATATATATATATATATATAGAAAGAAAGAGAGGGTTCTCAGGTGGTTTATACCTGTTAAGCTTGTTTGGGTTAGGGTTTGAGAGGGGCAAGAGAAGAAGAGAGTGAGGAGAGAGAAAAATTGGGTTTTTCAGATGAGTTGTAGCCCGTAACCCATTTACACTTATTTGATCTAAGGGTATTTAAGTCAATCAAAAAATTTGTATTGTTTAAATTGATAATTTAATGTGTCAAAGGGTAGTAATGTCAATTCATCATTGTCAGGGTATCTTTCTCAACTTTATCAAACCTGAGGGGGTGTCATTGTCTAAAGATAGGGCAACTTGTATATGTCTGTCCTTACCCCAAACCTTAGGGGGTGTCATTGTACTTTACCTAAAATATTTTATTTATAATAAAATTAGTATGCCCGGTTTAAAAAAAATTATCGTAGAAAAATACCTTATATATTTTTCATACAATATGCTGATGAAAAATTAATAAATTACTTAAATAAAAATATACGTTCTTTTTTATGTAATATATTCATGAAAAATTATGAAATTAATTAAATTATTTTAATTTCTTAAATTAAATTTCTATTTAAGCAATTAATTTTAAAAATTAAAGGTAAATTTATGCAAATTTAATGGAGAATATATCATCAAATTAGTATTTTTTTTCATTACTTATTTCAATAAGAAAAATAGATTAAATGTAATTCAATAATAAATGGCATTATGGTCATTTATTAAAATATAGCCTAAGCATGGGGCATTTTGCAACAAAATGTGACAGGTCAGAGGGTATTATGCATAAAATATAATTCAAGAGAGATTATTTGCAAATTCAAACATAGTTCAGAATAATTTTTTTGCACTTACCATTTTTTTTTTTTATGTAAAATATTACTTCTGCAATGATGGTAAATTGAGATTTATAGAGAGAATTCTCTATTTAGCATGGAGAGAATTATAAAGAGAAAATGATATCTACTTCTGATATGGTCCAACGGTTTACTCGCTGGACTTTGGAACTTAGCAAGTACAAGATTTGGTGTTAGAGTCCTGCTGGGTGTTCTTTGTGGCTAGCCTCTGCTGCCCCTACAGTGACTTATTCGACCTGGGTGGGGAGGCACCCTTCCGAATCCTCTGGGATTAGTTGGGTTGTTGAGGGACCCTAAAGGTTCATGACTTCTGCACACCCGGGGTTAACTAAAAAAAAAAAAATGGAGAGAAAATGATGGCAGAAAGCATTTAAGTTATGGGTGACCACCAAGAACCATCTCGTGACCACCATTAATGGTGGTGGGTTTATACCTGCAGATGTAAATTTTTTTTCAAAGGTTAATTACAACGACACCCTCTGAGGTTTGCCATATTGACAGTCATATATAACTTAGCCGTTTTTTGGACAAAGACACTTCCTATGAGAATTTTGATCCAAACAAACCCTTAAAAAGTTTGAAAAGACGAGATTGCCGTTCAATGATTAATTCATTTTTATGTTAAAATATCAGAACTCATGAAAAGTTAAATTTGTCTTTATATATATACTATTACATCAGCACCATCATATATAAATATATATACATCATTCATATATATATATAATCAATCTCACTGCCTCCTTCCTCCACCTCTGCCACCGCCCCCATCCACATCCGCTGCAACCATCTTGATCAACCGTCGCCGTCGCCGTCGCCGCCTCTCCCCAACAACAGTCGTCATCACCGCCTCTCCCCAACAACAATCGCCGCCCTATTCTCTTTCCTCCTTTCTTCTCTCTGTCTGTTCTCTTTTTCATCATAACCTCCGAACACCACTGCCCCCAACCATAACGGCCACCACTCCTAGTTGATACCCAAGCAAACTTGGCACATCTAGAACCTTAATCACCCTCTACAGCACCAGAATTAGCTCCTAAAACCTCCCCAACTACAGTAAATTGCCACTATTATGTGCAAGCTCATCACCAGGTCCAAGCTCGGCTTACCATCGACGGCGCACCATTCGAATGACATCAAAGCTTTGAGTGTGTGGTCTAACAACTTGCTCTGGATATCATCGGCGGCGATAACTATCTTGGCCGTGAAGTCAGTAGCAAATGCGACGGAGGTCACCTTGGGGCCGATGATGTTGTTTTGGGGTGTAACGCTTTAAATCAGGCGAAATTGGGTTGGATCTGTTGTGTTGTGTTGTCATCAGACGGTGATTCGAAGCAGTGAAATTTTCGGCAATGCGCTCCCGAGCACCATTTATGCACGTTGGGTTACACCCACTTGTGTACCTTCATTTCTTTCCCATAAAACCTAAAGGGCTTGCTTTTTGTTTTCCGTTCATGAACACTCTCAGTCACTTATTGGATTGGGTTTTGCGATTGGGTCTCACAATTTTTGGATTGGATTTAGTGAGATTGGGTTAGGGTTTTTTCTTGGTTGTAAATGGTGAAGGCTGTGTACGGTGGTTTACAGTGGGTGGTGGTTGCGGGGTGGAGGTTGCGATGGTGAGTGGATAATGATAAAGAAGGGGTGAGTGGTGGTGGAGATGGCAATGAGGGGTGGTACGTGGTTGTGATTGTGGGACAGTGGGTAATGGTGGGGAGGTTGTCTATTTTCTTGTGGGTAATTGTGTGGGGTGTGATGGTGGTGGAGTTGCCAATGATGGGTCGTGGTTGTGATTATGGGTGATGGTGGGGAAGGTTGTCTGTTTTCTTGTAGGGGTGACAGTGGGCGTGATGGCGGTGGAGATTAGGGGTAATAATAAGACATTTTGGTCAATTAAAAAGAATTGTATTGAAAAAATTGGTAATAGAATGTGTCAAAGGACAGTAATGTCAATTCACCGTGTGTAAAGACCATTGGGGTATCTTTATTGACTTTATTAAACCTAAGTGGTGCCTTTGTCCAAAAATTTGACTAAATTGTATATGATTGTCAATATAACAAACCTCAAGAAGTATTATCGTAATTAATCCCTTTTTTCAATGATTCTACAAAAGAGATCTACTTTTCCTCTCATCCATGATCCATTATCGATTGTCTTACACAGGTAATAAATATACGTATCTATAGGGAAGCAAGAATTGGAGATAGAGTAGTTCATTAGGTGATGAATTTGGGAGTTGTTTTAGAGATCGAAATGGAGATGAAAGTGGGTATACAAACATCTATCAAGTTTCTCTTGCTTTCTTTCTTTCTCTATTTTATGTTTACTTTATTATCAGTAAAAAATTTACTTTGTATTATCTCAACCTTGAGATCAACGGCTAATACCATTAGAACTTGAGAAATGGGGGCATATTGAAGATGTTTTTGAATAAAAATGGAGTAAGAAAGGAGATGGATAATATTGTTAAGCAAAAATTATTTTATTGGGTAGAAAGCCTTAAAAAAATGCACTCATCATCAGACACCTTTTTTTCGTCAATTTCTTTTAATAAAATTCCTTTAGTAAATAATTTTTGAGAAAAAAATAAATAAAAAATCCTTTAGCAAATGACTTTTGATGTTGAGAAGTTGTAGATGTCTCAATAATCTAGGGTTAGTATTTCCGTTAAATTCTGAAGTGTCAGACTTCGACTCTTTACATCTATTAATATAATTTTTAACACTTCATACCTTGTTGAGTGAAAAATGTGAATTTAGTCTCAGAAGTGAGATAATAACTTTATATATATATATATATATATATATATATTCAACACTTCTAATATTTAATATTTAAGGAACATGATATAAAGTCGAACTCCATGATTAAAAATGAAATCTATTATAAAATGTAATTAAAATGTTCTAATTACATTGATGTGGAGACCAAAAGATACATTTTTCACAAAATAAAATTAGGAAAAAATATTTACATCTAGGTAAAAAACATTGTTCATGGACATTCTTTTCATCCTGTCCTAACTAACACCAGCGCACTACTTTATTCACCAAATATTGTGCCCTTTTTCATATTTTCCCCTCAATATTCATGCAGTACTGAAGTGTTGCATCACTTGCACACCAGTGTTAAAAACAGATTGCCATGCAAGATTTTGATTGGAAATGACTCAATAAATTTAAACAAATTTGGAAAGCTCTAAAAGCAAGCTGTGTATATATATAAATGACTCAATAAACTTAAACAAATTTGGAAAGCTCTAAAAGCAAGCTGTGTATATATATATATATATATATACAGCTTGCTTTTAGAGCTTTCCAAATTTGTTTATATATATATATACACAGCTTGCTTTTAGAGCTTTCCAAATTTGTTTAAGTTTATTGAGTCATTTCCAATCAAAATCCCTATTCTTTTGTGTTACTTTCGGGGTTTTAACTTGTCTAATGTCACTAGGGAGATAAAATTAAAAAAAATTAAAAAATAAAAACAGAAAAAATAAAAATAAACAACATGTAAACGCCAAACGCCACTTAAATGGGAGTGACACTAGACGATGACTCAACTCCGTCATCTTTCGCGGCATGACCATGTAACGGCTTGTCCAGAGACGTTTTCGCCGTTACGGTTTCTTCACTACACACCTTCGCCGCCCTAACAGAACCGGTCCGACTCAAAAACGGCGGCGTCACAGTAAACACCCACCGGTCCGACCTCCCAACCCGGTCGGACCGGCCAACCTGTGATCTCCCTCCTCTACTACTTCCTTCTTCCCTCGGCAAAACGACGATGCAGCTCGTCGTTCGCTTCAGCGTCTGACTCATGATCTTCCTCCTCACCTCCTCCGGCAACCTCAGTGTGTACCTCTCACAGTTCTCTCCGGGTTGAACCAGTGAGTGACCCGTCGAGTGACACTTCGGGAGCGTCCTCCTCGAGATCTCCACCGCTTGATCTGAACTCTTTGCTTGATCATAATCATCAATTGTGATAGAAATTTGGTGAACTGAGTCACTGTGTTCAGATCTAGAGTCTTCTTGCTCGGGAGATGAGTGATTTGACTCAGCTATGTGCACACCGCCGGCGAGTTCGCCGGAACTCAGTGTGAGGTCATACCGGCACACCGGACACGTCGTGTGCGAAGCTAACCAAGTGTCGACGCATTCCGGATGGAAAACGTGGTCGCACTTCGGCAACAGCCGGAGACTATCGCCGTCGTTGAACTCGCTTATACAGACGGCGCATTCTAGCGCACCTTTCCCGATCTTCAGATCCTTAATGGAAGAGTAGGCTACGATTGGGAATGATTCGATTACGGATGGATCGAGGCCGCGCGGGAGCGGCCGTGAGCGGCCGCCGTTGCCGGCGTAGGGGTTCGAAGTGTCGGCGCCGGTGTTGGATGTGCATTTGCGGATGTAGACGGAGAAGAAGCCCATGAAGAAGAAGGCGGAGACGAGGACGATGATCATGACCGTCAGTGATGGATTGATGGTGTCGTCGCTGGCGTACGCATCCTCCGGCGTTCCCGCACTCGACTGCGCCGCGGTGTACGGTGTCGCCGCCGAGAAGAGGAGTAACATTGTGTGGAGGTGAAGTATTCCATGTGGCCGCGATAGATGGATGTTCAAACGGCAGCGTAAGATCGAACGGCTATGATTTGTCATGAGATGGAGACGGTGAAGAAGTATTGCTCATACCGCTATTTTTTATTCAAATTTATATGTAATTTAGTGGATAAAAAGAGAGAACAAATTGTAAAAGTGTGACGTGGGTGATGGCTAATGTGAACCGATACATATAGGAATAATACGCCGACGCCGTGAGTAGAAATGAGTAGAAAGGTCGTTGTAACGTGCGCCAGGGGTGAGATCAGCAGATGCTGACAGTTGTAACACGTGGCAGTTGAAGAGTCACGTATATTTGCTGCGAAATTGCCTAGGTGGAAGTATGGACGAAGAAAAAACGTGGGTTGTTAATGAGTTGTGACACGTGGCACTGTGGCGGGTGAAGAGCCAGGAAATTGCCTACGTGGAACTATGGGACGAAGAAGAAACGTGGGTTCTTAATAGAACATAAGTCTTGTATGTTGCAAGAAGGTTTTGGAAACTTTTTTGAATGGAAAAAGCGAAACGGCTCAACTGAAAAGTTAAGATACAAACAAAAACAATGGTGTTTCATATATGAATTTCTATATGATTAAAGCTTTACGTTATTTTAATTTAATTTTCAGTTATAATTTATTTATTTATTTATTTAAAAAATATATATTAATTTCCAGCTGTTTTTTTATTATACCATATTTATCTTGGCACCATTTGAATGCTGTTGGAGTTTTCTTGTTTTATTGGAGGTAAAAAGAAAAAGAAACTGATTGCCTTTTAAAAACAAGTGCACACATAAGTGTGTGTATATATATATCTAGTCACACTGTTCCATTTAAAAAGTAACTTTGACTTCCAAATCCACATTTATATATATATATATATATATATATATATATATATCTTATACAGGTAATTATTTAAAAAATTATTCTTATTGCAGAATTTAATTACGAAATTGGGCAATATTAGACCACTTAGTTGGTAAAGTATTCAACTTTTTTAAAGTGTGTATTTGTATTTGAACCCGTCATTCCTAATTTGCCCAATATATATATATATATATATATATATATATATATATGAACGTAAATTAAAATTTGTTACATATATTTGCACGAGGTGATTAGTCTCAATATTTGACCCACCTTCTTAAACTCAGTAGTCAAGCTTTTAATGGTACACCAATCTCATTAATTCAAAAAATATTTGTTTTACTTTTCTAGAAGAACAAAAATTAACTATTCATGTGCAATGAGATAAGGTTCATAGTTAATAGTTTTTTATTTTTTATTTTTTTTTATTTTTTTATTTTTTCCTTGTGACAAGAAACTCACACTTTCATTTTTATTTTTAACAAGACTTGAACTCTTAACATTAAATTTTAGAAAAATGAAGAAATATCACTAAATTGTAGTTCTCTATTCGTGCATTTAGTTTAAATGTATGTATTGATTATATAGAATGATTAGAACAAACCACACACAAATCATGCTACAATAAAAAATAATAATAAATAGTACGAAAGTCTAATGCACTCACTGTTTTATGTGTATAGAATGACAATATCATTGAATATGATAATGTCATCGAGACCGTCCCTTATTTATATAATTTTAGTCAAAGATGTTCAATTCTTATACTCTGTATGCAGGCACAGACGCATAACGCGACCTGCCTCCACTGATTTTTTTTTTTTTTTTGACATTTTATACTTCAAATTTTTTAAAATTTATGAAGACTCTCCCATTGAAATTACAAAATGTATTTAACAACTTTTAAATGAAAAATTGAGCATTCAACCATTGCACCTTACTTGATAAGCTCCTTATTTTATTTTCATTTGGGCTGATAAATGGACTATGTAACTCCATTGCATGTGAATCCCTCAATTTTGTTGACTTTGCAAAGTGAAAGAAACAAATAAAAAGTTTCTGGTACATGAAAATTTCCATTAATTTCTTAGAAATTTTGTTCACAAATAAAAAAGTTTCTAGAACTTGAAAAGTGAAAGAAATAAATAAAAAGTTTCTGGAACATGAAATTTTCAATTCATTTCTTAGAAAATTTGTTCAAATCAAATCAGTTTCAATATGGCTACAAGTCCTCCAAGTGTATCTGAAAGAAAATAATGGATTCAAAGCAAAAACTTTATTTGATTTCTCAACCACCAAAGAATTTGACTAATCAGAAGCTTTTTTCCGTCATTGTAATAATGATTGAAAGAAATATTAGCGAGTAATTTATAGGGAGGAGGATTAATTAACAATCTAACCATACTAAGCATAACTAAAACTCTTTGCTGCTTTTTCTTTTTATTTTTATTTTTTAATTTTTGTTGCCTCTTATTACATTGATTTCTTTAAAATTATGTGATTAAGAATGGTATTTTATTTTAGAAGATTTGAAATATTGTATCTCGGAATCTTTCAACTATTAAATCATTTATCAAAGGTGTCTCACATCACACTCAACGACTAAAAAATCCAAAATATAATACCTTCGATATTCTAAAATTTTCTCGTCCCGATTAAAAAGCCAAACCTAATTATTCTAGAATGTACTGCTTAAAAATGAAAGAGGTCGTACTCCAAGAGATTCAAACATGGGCTTTCTGCAAAAGGACAATCAAACCATTAGACTACAAGCGCGACTTTTGTTACCGATACTCCAACAGATAATTTATTTTATTGTTCTACAGTGTGATATATCATAGGAGTACTGTTGTGGTGCATAAATTTTTTTGTGCTTTAGACTTGTATTATATATATTTTTAATTTATATATTTTTTTCTTCTCCAATTTTATACTCCGTATATGGTATGGTTTTCATTTATTTCTTATTTAAATATATTATTATTCATTAATTTAATAAAAATATATAATTACCATGCCTTTTTAATATAGACAACAACTTAGAGTTTATAAATATAAATAGATCTATTAAATGGTCTTACAAAATTAACAAATATCACTAAAATTCACTAAACATGTCCATTTTTATTGAATAGTATGTTTTTTTTAAAATAAAAATAAAATAAAAAAATTCAAAATTGCAATAACTAATTTTGTTATATTACGTGGGTTCAGATAAGAATTTGTTCCATTGTGTCAGCAAAAACCAACTGGGATATATTAAGGTTGTATTCAGTTAAATAGAATTGGAGCTAAGGAATTAGAATTTGTGAACTTTGAGAAAAGTTACTCAGAACCATAATTTTCTTCAATTCTATTATTTTAATTCCAAAACTAATCGAACATAACTTAAATATTTTACTAACACATTCTATGGTCTGAGTACCTTTTGGCGGAGTTGTATTAGTGTTACATCATTGTTAGATGTTATATTTTGTAATATAAGGTGTTGCATTATGATGCAATGTAGTACCTGGTCGGACATATTAATTCATAGGACTATTTAGGAAGAGGAGACGTGGATCCAGAATACAAACTATATATTGTATTCATTACTCATAAGGAAGCTTTTTGAAGTCCAATGCACGTGCAATTCTTTGAAGTCATCTCTTCTTACAAGCTACCAAACCCTGAAACTACCATGAAAGACTTCTGATGAGAAGATTATGAGAAACAAATAGAAAAGAAGCATTGTTTCAATTCACAAATTTGTAAAGTTCAAATGGAGGGAAGACCGTGATTTAATTATTGGGATTTAACTAGTTTTTTTTTTCTTTCTTGGAGTGGGGAACACCAAGCCCTCTATACTTAAGTTTTTCATCTTTAGAGCAACTCCAATGCCATTTCAAATTTTGGCAATTCAAAATTGCCACCTGAGCATCTCCTTAGAATCACATCATCATTTTCAAGAGCCGCGTGAGTGTTTTGAACTTTCCAAATTTTAGCAATCGCATGTGTTCCAATGGTGTGTTTTCATTCTCCAAAAATATTATTATTTTAATATTTTCTTAAATTTTTAATTATTTTATTTTAACTTTTTTCCAATGGCTATATTTCAAAAGATTATATTATAAAAAGGAATTAAACAATACAATATGATATGTGTTAGAAATATGTTTAAAAAAAAATATTTATTATGCATTAGAAATTTATATTTATTACGCGTTTGTTTTTGTCTATTGGGCCTATTTAAATATAATAATGGATGGGTCTATTAATGCATTTATATTTGTAACAGTCAAGAGCCATTAAAGGCTTCAAGCCAAGAGTATCCTATAATAATGGGTGGGTCTATTGGGATATCCCCACTCATTCTTCTCTCTATGATCACTCTCTCATCTTTATTTCTTCAAATACATTTCCATTGAATTTTTTTCAACTTCGTCCAGAATTCCATCAACCTTCTTGACATGATTTTGGTGTTCTGAAATTATATTTCCTTATTATTTCTTTGGGCTTCATTGAAATGAGTTCAAGTCTTCAATCTGAGTACACATTTTTTAAGGCCGCCATTGTATCATGGAGAGTGACCGCTTGAGTACCATTTGCACCAAAGGATGCGTGTCGTGAGCCACGTACTCCTAGTGGGGGCGAGTTCACTTTTAAGGACAGTGAGTTAAGCCTCACACCTCGGCTGATAAGTTTTCTTTTTCTTCCTTGCTTTATTTTAGTTTTTGCATTATTTTTCCCTTTGTACGAAACATTATTGATCGACTTAATTAGTTGAGCACATTTCTTTTTCCTACAAACTTAAAAGTGAACTTGTGCTTAATTAATTAAAATGGGGAAAAATACCATCCCTGATATGTCTAAGGTTCAGCCTTTTGACGGAACGCATTACAAAAGATGGTCCGAAAAAATACTATTTTTCTTACAACAAATTGAGGTTGCATATGTTTTGTTTAATGAAAGCGCTCCTGATAATGAGCTTAAACCTGCAAGAACTACTTCAATAAGATTTTTTGAAAAGGATAACACTTCTTGCCGAGGGTATATTTTGCATCACCTTTCAGATCAATTATTCGACATCTATTGCAAGTACAAAACTACAAGAGAGGTGTGGGAGGCCCTCAAAAACAAATACTCCACCAATGAGGTCGGAACACGAAGATATGCGGGAAGCAAATTTCTTCATTTCAATATGGTGGATAACCTTTCTATTATAAAGCAAGTCCATCAATTTCAGACTATAGTTCAAGAAGCAGAGGCTGAATGATTTGTCATCAATGAAGCCATGCAAGCCGATGCACCCATCGACAAGCTACCACCCTCTTGGAAGGACTAC